CCAACTTGTGCCCCACCCACCCCTTTACTGGGGGCTCGGCCTGCCTGTCCCGTCTGCATGGTAGCTTGTGGATACATCCCTTCTCCCTTGTATGGCAGCGTATGGGTCCCTTCTAGCTAAGGGAATGGCCTTCCCCTTCTTCCCTGCTTGGCTGTTTCTGAGGCGCTTCTTTTCCCAAGGATACCTCCCTGCCCGCCGTTCATTCTCTTTACCTCGTGGTCACATGCTGTGCTACCATGCTCCCTCTGCATGTCAGTTTCTTCTTGCCCTATTTGCCTGATGTGGGGGCACTTTCCCGCGTATGGGTCCCTTCTAGCTAAGGGAATGGCCTTCCCCTTCTTCCCTGCTTGGCTGTTTCTGAGGCGCTTCTTTTCCCAAGGATACCTCCCTGCCCGCCGTTCATTCTCTTTACCTCGTGGTCACATGCTGTGCTACCATGCTCCCTCTGCATGTCAGTTTCTTCTTGCCCTATTTGCCTGATGTGGGGGCACTTTCCCTTTCTGGCAGTTTCTGACATATGCCCTCTCACCTTCATCCTGCTCCTTCCCTGTATGACAGCTTTTCCTTATCTACCTTTCCTTGATTTAGGGGGTCACTGTCAGCTTCTTTGCCCATGCCCTGCATAGTACCTTCTCCTCAATCCCGCACCCCCACCTTTTGATATGGGAAGCAAAGCGCAATCTCCCCTCTCCATTTACTGCACTGTAGCATCTTGTCCCCTCCCAGGAGTGTGTGTGTGTGTGTGTGTGGGGGGGGGGTATATTTGCCAACTCTTACATAATATTGTCTTGTACCCCATTTAAGGCTTTTTGAAACTGTTTAAAGAAACTCTAGATAACTTGTTATGAAAAGTTCCATAGAAAAGACTTGCCAAAGAATAAGTATAAATTTTAAAATACCACATATCACAATAAATATCCGTTAATAGTAGTGGTGGTCCAGATATGAAATGCACAAGATGGGTGAAGTGATGTCTTTTATTGGACCAACATCTGTTGGTGGACAGTACAATCTTTCCAGTAATACAGAGCTCTTCTTCAGGTCAAGAGAAGGACTTCAAGAGTGTCTGAGCTAAATACAAGTTGGGACAGACAAGCTTAGGGGTTAATGAATAATATATGCCTTCCAGCAACATAAGTTGGTTCAATAAAAGAAATACCTTAGTGTCAATTTTTCTGTTGTTTTTTAAGTTACTGTATTGCTTCTAATAAGCAAAAAGCGAGGTTGAGTTAAATAGCAAATTCTGCTTTAAAGCAAGAGAAGGAGGTTTGGCTAAAATGACATTTTGATAAGCTCACAAATTATTCCCAATTCTTACCTTCAACTTCAGTTGCTTTATTTTATCAACAGTTGTCTGGAAGTTAGATAATCAATGCACTCTATGCTTGAGAATCAAGATTCCTCTAAGCTCACTCCCTTGAGTTTAGAAATGCTATATTAGTGATGGATGTCAAAGTCACAAGTTATGTTCATCATTCCAGTATCTCAGTTTTGGCCACATTTTATAGAAGAGCTAGTTCAGAATTTTACTGTTGGCGCTGTTTTTACTATCTCCACCTTTAAACCAGGCTGCTCTAATTACCGTGTGTGTCCCCCCCCCCCACTCAGTCTTTGAATGGAGAAGAAATTTTAGAAACCTATCCAACTTACCAAAACAATTCTGCCATGCGTAAGTGATGATTTTTAATGTCAGATACCTTGTGGTATCCCAGGTCTAGAAACAAATGATCTTGTGAAATGAGGGATTTGATATCCCTGTCTCTAACTTCTTGCATGATGGGTAGTGAAATATCTGATACTAAACCAGTTACTTTTCTAAGACTGACTATTACCCATCGTGCTTGTCAAGTTTATGCACCTTCAGGGAAGAAATATCACATTTTGGGAGTTGAATATAATAAACTACTGGCAGTATTTTTAAAGATACTTTGTAGCTATTTGGAGTTTTGAAATGTTACCAATAATCCTAGTGGAGATGGATTAGTTGGCAGAGTGCAGGTGAGGTAGTCAGAGGTTCATGATAAATCCAGGTGAACATGAGGGTGATTTCATGTGTGATTGTATAAGTGAAACTCTGTCTTCTGCTTGGTGGAAAGTCAGACTTGCTTGAATATGTATGTATGCAGCTATAGAAATGGAGGGCCTATGGTTGTATTAGTTGCAGTTGGAGGAGGGTACTATTCTCCCACATCTCAAGGTGGTGCATTCCACATTGTAGCAAATGACAGGAGTACACATCTAAGCAACCCAGTATGCTGTGCAGAAAGGAAAGGGTCCAGAGAACCACTGATTCTCAGGCATGATTGGAGTTGATGTTGCTTATCTTGATTTAAACTCCCTTGACATCTGTTTATAAAGTAAACAGCTGCTGATTAATTTAAAACAAAGCAATAGTTACAAAAATACTGAAATATATCTAGAACCTAAAACATACTGGAGACCCATCTGAATAATGGAAGATATTTTAACACCTTGTTTGCCTTTCTACTTTTGTGAGGCAGACCTCCCGAGAAGTAAATTGATGGGGTAGTTATATTAAGGATGTTAAAAAGCGGGTAACTGACTAATCAGGTAGTTGATACAATTTGTATCGACTACACGATTAGTCAATAAGGGGCCCTGAGGCTCTGCAGTTTAAATATGATAGGAGCCAGGTGTGCAGGCAGCCCAGCTTCTATTGCATTTAAACTGCAGAGCTGTAGTGAGGGATTGGTCTAGGACCTGGCGTGAGCCACTGCCTCCCCGCCCCTAGCACTGTGGAGATGGTGCTGGGGGAAGTGGCTTTTAAGCTGTCCCCCCCTAGCATTGGCACCTGCTCTCCCCTTCTCCTTCGCCCCCCCCCCCACTTGCTGCCTCTGAGTCAGCAAGGGGGAGAAGTGAGTAGTCAAGTAGTAATCTGATAAGCCAAGGCAGACTAGGCTTATCGGTAGGCGACTACTCAATTAGTCACTTACTTACATCCCTAGTATTTATGGGAGTTAAGGGTAGGAGGTTTGTTTGTGCTTTTTTCCCTTCATGTTTATGATGCCTGCAAGGCAGACCAATAATTGGGAATAACTGTTGCAAATGTTCAGGATGAGCTTGATAGGATATTTAAAAAAAATATTTTGAGTCAGTAAGTTTTTTGCATATTTTCAGTCCACGCAACTTTTCTTACTTTCTATTGCCCTGGTTTCTATTCTTTCCTGTTAAAAGTAAAATAATATTTTAATCAACAGAAGTCTGTTACTAAATTACAATTTGAAATGAAGTTATTTATCTAAAAATTACACAGTCATTTCTGAACTAATATTACTTCTCTGAATGTATGTATGCGAACTGTGGAGTCTGATACATAAGTCCCTGACTACTTATCAAAAGCTGGGGTGAATGAAAACTCCCTGAAATGGCTGATGTCCTTCCTTTAAGAAGGAGCCAAAAAGTTCATTGTGGTATGCTCTTGATCACCTCCAAAGCTTTTTGCACTTATGGAGTACCCTGTTCAGTCATCCTACCATGCTGTTCAACTGTGAGAGTCAATTTAAAGTACCAACAGCATGTGGACAACCCAAGTGTACATCACATATAAACTGTACCATTATGATGCTGGTAGACCAGGTATCTTCTCATGCCAAATCCTAGGTCTCACCAAACACTAACAAATGCTTAACTGGTTATTATTCTGGGTGGTAATCATTTTGTTAATATTCTTTAAATTGATCTTAAGTTTATAAAAATGTGTTTGATAGGAATGTTAGAAAGCAGTTACAGGCAGTCCCCGAGTTACGAGGATCCGCCTTACGTCGGATCCGCAGATACAAACGGGGATTTTCTCGCCCCGGACGACGGGAGCGGCGGACGCCCGGTCCCGCTGCCCCCGTCCTCCAGGGCGAGAAAATCTGCTCTGCCTCTCCCTGGTCTGCTGGGGGGGGACGCAACTAGTGCGCCCCTCCCAGCAGACTAGGGAGACGTGGAGCAAAGCCCCGGGCCTGTGGTAGAGCAGGTGGGGCGCTGCCGGTTGGGCCCGCCGC